AACACATAAATGCAGGTACCAGTAGGTTGGTGGATAATTGTAAATAGTCTAACATGAACCACAATTATGAAGTTTATCTATAAGTATATTCTTCTGAAGTAGCTCTGAAGAGCAATCTTTCAATATTCATTATTATTTCAATTTTACTAAAAACCTATTAGAAAGCTTAACAGTGGTGGATAGACATCCTGGAATTATACTAATTGAAATCAACTGCTTCAGGTGACCACTCAATAGCACTAGGTATCCTATTCAAGACTATAAGTGAGGCACTAATTAGCAATTCTAGAATAACTGCATTCCTAACAGAAGCTACTGTGAAATTTCTTGTAAATATTGTTTGCATGATTAAGCACTTGTAAAAAGTTTAAAAATCCAAAGAGCAGTTTCACTTTGGCCCTGGAATTAGTTCTTTAGTAGACTTTTGAGATCATAATAACACAGTTCTCATCAGTGGAGATGACTACATCATCCATTTGGAATTACTTTCTTCAATTAAAAGGTTATATCCTGCCAGATATAGTGGTACACACTTGAAATCCCAGTTACTCAGGAGGCTGAAGGTGCACAAGTTCAAGGCCAGCCTGGGCAACTTGACCAGAACCTGTCTTAAAATAAAAAATAAAAGGGGCTAGGAATGCAGCTAAAAAGTAAAAGTAACCCCACCTAAGAATATTACTTGCTTAAATTAATTATTTGTGTAAATTTTAAAACTTCTGTACCGTCAAAATACACTATAATATAAAGACAAATGAAAGAATTAAGAGAAAAACAGATGCAAGACATACAGGGGTAGTAATTTTTTTAAATATTATTTTTTAGTTTTTTAGGTGGACACAATATTTATTTTATTTTTTATGTGGTGCTAAGGATCAAACCCAGTGCCTCATGCATGCTACGTGAGCACTCTACCTTTGAGCCACATCTCCAGACCAGGGGTAGTAATTTTAGCAATTAAAAAAAAAATTAAAACAACTAAAAATTAGTAAACTACTGATAGAAAAACTGACAAATGAAAATTAGCTAGCAAGTAAAAAGGCAATGAACATAAGATGTTYAACCTAATTACAAAGTAATGACATGTAAGTTAAATTAACAACATACTTCACAGCCTCAAACTGACAAAAATTAAAAGCTGATAGCTTACAATGCATGTGGGTGTGTGCTGACAGTAAAGATTACTGTACCTTTTGAAAAATAAAAATTTTAGAAAGTAACAATATGTATGTATGTATGGTACTGGAATTAAATGAAGGGATTCTCTACCATTAAGATATATCCCCAGCCCTTCTTATTTTGAGACAGGGTCTCACCAAATTTCTTAGGCTGGATTCACTTGAAATTTTCAAGTCTCCCAAAACTGCTGGGATCAGAGGCATGCACCAACCCTCAATTAAATAATATATCCTTTGTTTTAGCAATCCCACATACAGAATTTATCCTAGTTAGGGGGAAAAAAATGAAATCAATGCAGGAAAAGTTAGACAGACATATAAGGAGAGTTCTTGTTCTTACCATTTGTAATACCAGGAAAGAAAAGGAACCTTAAAGGTGGGGAGGGCTGCAAATTTGAATATCCACTACTGATATAATAGCTTAATAATTTATGACACATTGATACATGTATACTTTGGAATACTATACAGCTATTAGAATATGTCAAATTTATACATACTACAATATGTCTATGTCTACAATATTAAATGAAAATAAGCAAAGTGCAGAGTAATAATGTATACCATGATCTCATATTTGTTCAAAAAAAAGAGAGAAAGGAAAAGGAAACTAATAAGAAGTTCTATTTATGTGCCTAATTTCCTAAATGAATACATACACCTTAGTTTTAAATACACCTACTGATCCATTAGAGGTCTCACCCACAAGATATTATGGTCTTATAATGTCTTTAATCTAGGTACATTAAAGGCTTTATTAGATATCAGCTAATACAATCCTTTGGAATCTTCTAAATGAAAAGATAATAAACAATAAAAACTAATTTTAAGGGAAAAATGTTCAACAGTTTTTTTTTATGCCAAAATAAAACAATTTTAATGTTGCAATTTCAAACATAGAAAACCACAGAAGATCCTCTTCTCTGATAGCAGAAGGTATTTCAGTCATTTCATTGGATAATATGATTATGCTAGTTATATAAACACAAAAAAGGGACAGACATTAAACCAATTTCTTTGTGTAAGAAATTGAATTTTCTCAGAATAATGCTCATTCTTAGCAACAAATGCATTGATATTACAACTCAAAAATTCTATTCAACTAAATCTTAGTATAATATAAAGTTTCAAGCAGCCTGACTTAAAGGAGCACTTCATTTGGAACCGGACATACCTGAGTTCCAATCCTGCCACTTACTAGGGATATGGTCTTGGGCAAGTTACATAATCTCCTACCCTATTCCTGGGGCTGCAAAAATAGTTTTCTGTGGTGTTCTTGGAAAATAAAGAGTATCACAGATGAAAAATGTCTAGTAATAAAGTCTATCACACTATGCCTTCTTCTTGCCTTTCTTTCCAAAGAGGTCAGATTACTTACTAACTGGCAATGTGTTTTTCAGTACCACCTTTTAGAAGACTTGGAAAACAAAAAAGAAAAAATCAGGCACAGTGGAGTACACTTGTAGTTAGTTACTCAGGAGGCTGAAGGTTGAGCAAGATCACTCAAGCCCCGGAAACTCTGGTCAGCCTGAGCAATATAAACCGCTTTTCCTTTAATTAAAAAAAAAAAAAAAATCAAGACTACTAAGCTGATATAAAGTTATACATTCTATAGGCCATGTGTTTGCATTTTCCTTTTGGGGGGGAGAGGGAGTATGGGGGATTGAACTCAGGGACATCGGACCACTGAGTCACATCCCCACACCTATTTTTTATTTTATTGAGAGACAGGGTCTCATTTAGTTGCTTAGCATCTCCCCATTGCTGAGGCTGGCTTTGAACTCACAATCATCWGTCTCAGCATTCTGCATTTTCCATTGTTTTGTATTTGAGACTCCTTTTCTTGGATTATTTTAGAGATTTATTTCAATGAACGATTACTATTTTTGATATTATTATTCATTTTGATTCATGCTTACTTATTTCTGGTGAAATTTTCCTTAAAAAAATCGTAAGCAAGCACATTATGTTCTACCTGTTGCATTCTACATCTCCAAATAACTTTCTTTTTAAAAGCATTCATGTTGGGTCTGTAGAAACCACTTTCAAATATTATGGGGGGAAAAAGTGTTAGGTAAGGCAGAATATCAAAGCCTTAAGTCATTTTAACCCACTAAAATGTGTCTAAGAAATTAACACCGCAGAATTCTAAATAGCAATACAAAAAATTTTGATTTTAACTTTCAAGTACTTCTAAGAGGAGTCAATTTTTTTCCATGACTGGATGACACTAAATGGATCCAAATGCAAAGAAAAGCATACTGTCCGGCTTCTAATATTTAAAGTGAAGATTTTTCATGACACAAGACACATATTAATAAAATCAACAGAATTAACTCATTGTATTATTAATTAATTTTATTTTATTAGGTAAATAAATTGAATAATTTCAAATTATACTATAGAATTGAGGATTTAYGATATTTTAGCCTCTTTTTCATATTTAGTTGAACTTCAATCAAATTTATTTGATGATTTTTGATACAATGCTCTTTAAAGTGTCTTCAAGTCTCTTGCAAAGTCTATCAAAATTGCAAACAGCTACTATATGGAAAATTACAATTATTTTCCAGTACATTTTTCCTAAAAAAAAAAAAAAAATTAATCACCACCCACAACAGTTTCTGGCTGTTTTCCATATTTACTCCTTTGTTTAAGTTACACTGCTGAAGGTAATTTTTTACWTGCTTTTCAAAACATGTTCAAGTTGATGGTGAGGTGAAAGAGTATGCAAAAACCACTTCACATTATTTTCACACATGCAAATTACAACTTCTTGAGGTGATTTTAAGTGCCATATACATTTTCAAATCAAAATTCATCATTGTCATTCTTTAAAACTCCCTTTCCATCCTGAGCTCTTCCAAATGTCAAAGTTCTCTACTAATCGAGAGTACCTATTATCCGTTCTTTCTACTGGTCTTTCACAATTTTACACTCCAGCTTTTTGTATTTCAGAGCCCTTCGCCCATAAAAGCACCACTAACTGTTTAAGGTACTTAACTGTACAGTTAACTTTCCGCATTATCTTACTTTTCCTTTCATAAACTTCACTATAATTTCCTTTCAGCTTTCCTTCATCTTCTAAATTTACAACAATACTATCGCGAAGCAAAGTGTATATACAACCCTATCAGGAAGCCCAAATTAATCATTTAGCACAACTAATAATTTAAATACCCGGATGCCTCATTTAGATACTCGGTGGAAGCTTTTTACTTGATATCCTGTCCTACCAGGCCAGCCTGCCTCCAACGTTAATTGTAAGATCCCTTGGTGCCCCTAGCACAAGTGCAATTCGCTATAGTGTATTTCTTTTTACTCCCCACCATTCCTGGTGTCTCCTTCCATTTCTGCGCATCTAGTGAACCCCCCCACCCACCCTCGTTGTCCCCAAGATTCTGTACCTAGATGTCCATTTCTCAAATTAGAATACCCCTCGCCTGATATTGGCGGGGCTTGGTTGTACTACTTCTAAGAGAACGCGCGAGCAGTTCTCTCTATTCCAGAAGCACCCGCTCCCCACTGAGTTCGGTCCTCCCTAGCTCGCTCTCCTTGGAATGCCTACTTCGGGGCAACCCCTTAGCTCCAAGAAGCCCAATCTTGCAACCTCTGCCCCTTGACCTAGAGCCCAGCAGGCTACTCAAGGTAATTCACCTAGTTTTTGGAGCTTGTGCTGTCGATGCCCCCAGTCCCAGCTCTCCTTGAAACCTCTCAGCTCCGAAGCCAGACCCCAGATTAGATGAAAGCCCGCTGCTCCAGTAGCAGTGCCTCCCCGGCCGGCCCCTTCCACACCACTCAGCCCATAGCGGCTCGGCTCCTCACCTAGCTTCGACCGGGACTCCTCCAGTTTCTGAATCTGGTTCTCCAAGAAGAGCATCGCTACCGCGAAGGCCACCACCGCCAGCAGCTGCAACTTGGGCGGCATCATAATCCTGAGGAGCCCCATGAAACCCGCTGCTCGGGATCAAGACATACCGCGGGGGGCGGGGAGCGGGGCCCCGGAGGCGAGGGAGACTCCGGGAGGAGTCCAMGGAGCCGGGAGAGAGGCGAGGAGAGCGCCACAGGGAGAACCACCGCAGCGACCCCCCTTCTCGCCACTCGGGTCCCCCGCCCCCAGGCGCCAAGCACCAACAACGCCGGAGCCCGCTTCTCCACAGCCGCCCCCTCCAAAAGCCCGCGCAGCAAACAGCGCGAAGCGGCTGCCGGGCGCTCTACAGCCTCAGTTCCCGACCCCCACGCCCGCCTGCTTGCCCGCCCGCCTCCTTCTCTTCGTTCTTTCCCTCCCTCCTTTGCTCGCGGCCGCGCGTTCCTCCACCAGCGCTGCGGCTGCGACTGCGCTGCCCTCGGCCCCGCCCCCTCCCATCCCCCTCCGCCACCTCGCGCACGCATCTACGTACGCTGCTCGGCAACCAGAGGCCCCGCCCCCTCCTCCCATTCCGTAGTGTGCATTGGCCCGAAGAACCCCAGTGTTTCGCTGTCGATTCGGTTTACGGTTGAATTCTCCTGCCACAGGGCTCACCCAAGACGGCATTCCATTGGGTGAACCTGGAGAAGGAGGCAGGACTGAAACTGGCGAAGGCGGGGTTTCTTGGCTTCTGGACGAAGTGTCGTGAATGAAAGGATGGAGCCCGGAGAAGCGCAGAAGTGGGAAGTTTAGGAAAGTGCCTGATTTGAGTAATTGAAAGGAGACAATAACTGTCTTTATATTTGATTACCTTTAACCTTTCATATGTCTTTAGTTAATACTGTCTCTTCAAAATAAGAGATTTGATGGCAACGGCCTTCCGTGGCCTGTTTTCAATCAGGCTCTGAAGTGGTTGCCCCTAGCCGAGGGGTCCTCTGGGTAGCCAGAGATTTACGATAGATGATAGCGATGGCGGCTGGGCGAGGTGGATGGCTTGGGCCAGCTTTTGGGCTGCGGTTCCTGTTGGCTACTGTGCTTCAAGTGGTGAGTGTAGGTCACCTCCGCGACCGCCTTAGGGCGAGTAGGAGGGATTACTAATGAGGAACACAAAAATATTCGGTCCGGTTCGGGGGCCTCACTTGAGAAAAGGAGGGGGGCAGATTGGGCTTCCTTAGAACAGTGGCCGGAATGCGACGTGGCTTAATTCCGGGTTGAGTTTGTAGAGGCCGTCTTCTCCCGACAAGTCTTGGGTAGTTTTCTCTTACGTAGCTCTAGCTAAAAAGGATCACGGTGGAGAGGGGAAGCAGTAAAGCTTGGGAAAGAGTAAAGTTTTTTTTTTTTTTTTAAGTAGGCAGAAATGCAAGGAACTTACTACAAGGCTCTAAAATCTTAAAAGGAAAAACCAGCAGATTTTTGCTAACGGTGAACACCTTCAATTACTTTCTCTTTCAGACTCTACTCCTGCGTCCTCGCGTATACACCAAGCAGTGTAATCAATATTTTTTTTCCATTAACAAAGTACATGGGTTCTTAATCTTTGACGACCCAATTTTTACTTATTTTATTGCTTACATAACAACTAGACATTGGCTAATTCCTCAAAGAAGTGTACATGAATAATGAAACTTAAGGCACTGTTGTGGCGAATTTGGTATTTATTATTTCAGTTTAATTCTTAAGGCATTCTCTACTGAGCCTGCTGAAAAGTTTTCTCCTAAGACAAAACTTTCTTTTATCCAAGGTTTATGGAAGTTGGGCACCACTTTGTTTGACCCGGGAATTTGGAAGCAACTTCCTGGGTTTTGCTTTTGCCATCTTGAGGAAAAGGTGGATTCTTCTCTAATAAACAGTTCATTACAATACTTTTATTCAGGCATTTTGGTGCTTTAAAATTACTGAACATTGTTCCCTGAACTTTGTACTCTTCAAGGTTTTTTCCCCATCTTAGGTCATTTGAATTCATCCTCATCACCACAGAATTATARAAAGGAATATTTCAAGCTTCCTTCTCCCAATTCACCATCTCTGGCTTTCAGTTAGCTGTGGCTGTGTAACTGTCCTCCAAATATTAGTGGTTTAAAAACAATGATTTCTCACCATTCTGTGTTTTCAACTAGTAGGTTAGTAGACCTGAACAGTTTGAGGGTCATCATCATTCATAGTTGGTGCTGTCAGCTGGGACCACTTTGTTCTTCTCTGTGTGAGCTGTCATCCTCCAAAAGCTAGACCAACTTTTTTTTCCCTTTTATTCTCTTGACTGTGCTCCAAAATAGCAAAACCTTAAAATGCCTCCTTGGCTTGCCTTGGAAATCACATATATCATTTCCACCATGTAGTATTTGTTAAAGTGTTAAAGTAAGTCACAAGACCAGTTTACTTTTCAGGAAATAAACTGTCTATGTAGGAAGAGTGACAGAGTCACATTTCAAAGAAGAATACATACTCATACAGRAATTTATGGCCATTGAACAATGTACCACAGAGTGACCTTCACAAAATCCAAGCCAAAAATTGGTCCATTTGAATTCACTTTCCTTTCACTCTGAATCCAGTTAGTAATAAAGTCCTTAAATCTTTACAGCCGTTTTGTGTAGAAAGTATTGCTCATTGCTTTATCAATGAGGAAATTAATGCAGGGAGGGTAGCTTGCCAAAGTCACACATCTTGTAAATGGTGAAGCTGATACCTAAAACCAAAAAGTTTGATTTCTAATGTGTTCCTACTTCCCCTACCCCATCTCTTTTCTTATCCTTCTCCTGCTGAATACGTCTGTAGATAAGTCAATGTTATTTCATATAGTCCACATAAACAGGTGCTAAGCTCTTAAACAGGAATTATTTTTTCCTTACAAGGAAATTCCTTTTTAAAAACTAGTAAATGTTTATTAAAAGATATGTGATACATGTGTCATGAAAATGATGTATCTTGCTGGGCACAGTGGCACACAACTGTAATCCCGGTAATTCTGAAGGCTGAGGCAGAAGGGTGGCAAATTCAAGGCCTGCCTTGGCAATTTAGCAAGACCCTGTCAAAATCTTTAAAAAGGGCTCGAGATACAGCTCAGTGGTAAAATGCTCCCGAGTTCAACCCCACACCAAAAAAATTATTTATTTATATATTAGTCTACGGTTTTGCTAAATTAAAAAAGTGTTCAGTTTATAAGAAGAAAGCTATAGAAGAGATGGGAAGAACCAAAAACTCATGTAGGGTTATAAAGTTCAAAACACTGAAAAACTTTACACCAGTTAATATTTCAGTAACTCATCTCCAGTGTATTACAATTTAATAACACCATTAACCTCTTTTTGGAAGTTTTATAATGTAAATGTAGAATTGTGATTTATTCTTCATTTGTATTTTCAGGTGTCTGCTTTCAGGGCAGAATTTTCATCAGAGGCATGTAGAGAGTTAGGCTTCTCTAGCAACTTGCTCTGCAGCTCATGTGATCTACTTGGACAGTTCAACCTACTTCAGCTGGATCCTGATTGCAGAGGATGCTGTCAGGAAGAAGCTCAATTTGAAACCAAAAAGGTACTGCTTCCTATTATATCTTTTCCATTAGATGTTTTAGTTGGAATAACTTGACTAAATTGCTTAGTACACTTAAGCATAAAGAATTTTCTTACCTTTGCCTGGCTCCCTAGCACAATCAAAGTCATTACAAAGGAAATGTATGATTATATACTGGGCTTCTATTCGTTTTCCATTCAGCAGACAGGGGAACAGAGTCACGATAGCATGCCTGGATCCCACTCCTCTCCAGTCAACTTCTGACCAAATGAAGACACAAAAATAATCAGTTAMATACTTTTGTGCATTTGCAGCAAGAAGTCAGTTTTATGATGAAATTTGATATGAAAGCAAGGCACATGATGTAGGCAATAAATTATAATTCTAAATGTGGTTAAGAAGGCTGAGGATATAGCTCAGTGGTAGAGCACCTGCAGCATTTGTAGGGCCCTGGGTTCAGTCCTCTGTATCACAAAAAAAAAGAAAAAAGTGCTTAACAATCTTACTTACATACCCATTATTAATAATTCTGAATACCTAGACTCACTTTAAAATTTGAAAACTGAGTCAAGGATAGGTAGTTCTATCCAACAGAATTTTTGTTTTGAGTGTATTGTTTAAACAAATAGTGAACTTGCTCAAGTTTTAAATCTTTTCATTAAAATCCTTAGATTTCTTAAAATTTTAAAGTAGTCTCAAAAGATCATTTGTTTTATCCAAATAAAGCTGATTTGGGGTTAGGAGTGGTGATATACATCTATAATCCCAGAGGCTCAGGAGGCTGAGACAGGAGGATCATGAGTTCAAAGCCAGCCTCAGCAAAAGCAAGGTGCTAAGCAACTCAGTGAGACCCCATCTCAGAAATGAAATACAAAAATGGGGCTGGGGGTATAGCTCAGTGGTCACGTGCCCTTGAGTTTAATCCCCAATATTCCCCCCAACCCCCACCAAAAGAAAAAAAAAAGGAAAAGAAAAAACTGAATTAGTGATTGRTGGCATAGCTCAGTGGTAGAGTGCTTGCCTGGCATGCACAAGGATCCATGTTCAATTCCCTGTACCACCCCTCCACTAAAAAAAAAAAAAAGATCTCTGGGTTGAGGAAAAAATTTAGCATCTTTCTACTAAGTTTCCTCTTAGTATTCTCTTTCACTTGTATATGCTGAATTTTATTTAAGGTGTTCATTTATATAACTTTGAAACAGGATATTTTCTCATGATTAGATAGTTATGATTTATTTCTAACATTAAATACATTTTTGTAGTTCTAAAAGAAAAACAAGAGCCAGGCACACACCTATAATCCCAACTACAACGAAATTTGAGGCAAGAGGATCATAAGTTCAAGTCCATCCTGGGCAACCTAGTGAGATACTCTCTCAAAATAAAAGAGAAAAAGAGCTGGAAATACAGCTCAGTGGTAGAGCATTCCAGAGTTCAGTCCTCAGTACTGCAAAAAAGACAGGCCAACGAGCTTTTAAAATGTAAGTATTCAGTCCAGCCAAGAGTTAACATGTGACTTCTCRGTTTCTCAATATCATAAACCTGAAACTCTCAAGTGTCCGGAAGATTCCAGCTTGATGTTTAGATTCACATAGTTTATATTTAGATTTCCATATGTGTAAATTACTCTTTATTGCATATAAATAAAATATAAATAACAAGTATTAAAACTTGATTTTAAATACATTTAAAACGGGATTTAGCTTTTGATGAGATACCCATATGGACAGATTATTTCTTGTGCCCGTATACAGACCCAGTAAACAGAGTTAGGATAGTAGACATGCTTTTTTCAGAGGTGGCTCCAGCTTCAGCTTTAGCCCTCAGCTTCAGTCATTTAACCCCCAGTCTTTTCTCTAGGCGCTTTTATATGCAGTCCCAACTAAAGAAGACACACTG